TGCCCTTCACACATAAGGCCTCAAGTCAATCAGAATGCCCCTCCAATTGAGCAAAGGGGATATCTTTGGTTTTCTGAAATACAGCTGAGAGGAAATAAGTTGGTGTTATTAACCATCAACTAACAGTTTTAATCAGAGTTAAGTGAGAAAAATATGAGCCCTACTAACTCTAGCCCCCTACCAATGCAAGGATTTTTTCTCTACTATATATTTTCTGGGTTTTTTATCCAGTCTACTTTTACATATCTTAATCAAAGGGGTTTCCTTTGTTCTCCATGAGATACTACTCCACAATCTAGTAGCTCTCATCATTCAGTTGATTTTCATGAAATTCAGTCTCATTTTACCTCTCCTTCACATTATTCCTGGTTATGCTCTACAACTTTAAACAAAATTTATTTTTTTGAATTTCAAAATCTCCCTGGGGTCATCATGCTTCTAGCACTTATAGACAGTTGTCAGTTCTCCCTCATGTTCTCATAGGGCCTGATCCAAAGCCCCTTGAAGAGACTCCCATGGGCTTTGGAGCAAATACATACATAGCTCTTTTAATTCTTCCTCTGAATCAGGCATTTCATTGTTTTTGTTTCTCTTTTCCTAATTCCTTCAGTTTTTCTCTATATAATTAGCATGACCATTTCTCCCATTTTTAAAGGGACAGTCCTGTTTTTTGGGACTTTTTCTTATATAGGCACCTATTACCCCCCACCCCATCCCGTTTTTCACAGTTGCTATCTGGTAACCCTATATATAATAGCATGGTACATGGATGCCTGTTCATTCACAAGGAATGCTAATCCATTGGGGAAAATGACCCTATTTTCCACCTTTGTCCACTCACAGCCTATTCCTAACTTCCCTTTTTACATTCTTAACCTTGAAAGACCATCTGAAAAAAAAAAAGTGCAATGCTTCTGTATCTGTAGAACTACCAGTAAAAATGTTGAGCTGTGGAATGAATGCAATAGGAATTGGGGACTTGGCAAAAGTCTTTTGGTGAAAGGGACTAAGCTTATATCATCTTCTTAAAAATCTGTGCTGCTTCTGTGCAGCAGCAATCTAATCCATGTTTTTGGGATCACTTCATCCAAAGGAGGCATGGAATACTGGATGACAGGAAGACTGTAGTAATACACATTTGATACTGATCAACATTTGTCACTGAGGTATACTGTCACAGTTGCAGAGTTAGCTGCACCTGTATTCCTCCTCTGTAGTCCTTTAAGGGCACCCATTTAAGGTTTCAGGCTCCCAGTCGTTACCTCTCTTTGGTGGGGAAACCCACATTTCTTTCCCTACTAATCAGAGGTTTTAAGGCTACACATTCCCCTGGCATATACTGTACTGTGATATCCCCAGCAAGCCAATGCCTGTGCTTAGCTTGTTCTATGAGGATATGACCAGTGTGTGCCAACAGTTACACATTACCACACAACTCTTTCTCTGCAAAGTACATTTATTCTTTGGATAAAAGCATCACAGAGAAAATATCTAAAAAAGTTCCGACATACTTACTAACATACCAGAAAACTACCCATCTTCCGCATGGGGAGTCTGATAGGCCAGCATCCCTTCTACCCCTTCAGCAAAGGCTGAGGTCCCCTTAGGACCAAAGGTCCTGTCCATTTGCTGAAGCAAATGGAAGATCCTGAATCTGTTTAAACTCAGCCTTTATATATCCCAGGTTCTTTCTTCATCTCTTGGTCTCTGGAAAACGCAGTTGGAACCAGTGTATGCAAGCCATCTCATAGTGGTGGTACCTCACTGGAGCTGTTTAGGGTCTCAGCAACTTGCCTTAACCAAACCCCACTGTTGTTAGTCCATGGTGGAGCTGTGGTGGCCCCTACTCCCATCTCTATAGAGTAGGGGACATTCATACATAAACCATTCCTAAATTTAATACAATGCTCCCCAAAGATACTACATGGGGTTGCAATATCTGCCACATATACATGTAGAGAGACAAGGAGGGTGAGGTTATATCTTTTATTGGGCCATCTTCTGTTGGTGAAAGAGAAATAAAAGATTTCCCCCCCCTTCTCTGTGATACCCTGGGACCAACACAGCTACAACAACACTGCAAACATAGACATGCAAACAGTTTTATATTTTGCAGAAAGGTCTGGCGTGCAGTTTATATTTTGAGATTGCTAATGAAAAAATCATTTACTTTGGATCAGAGTTAAGGTTGTAATTTTACAATGAAATATACATTTTTTTTATATTTGGTGAGAATGTGTTTATGGGTACTGTGAAAACTGCTTCAGCCTTCATTTCCATCCTTTTAAGTACTTGAGTTTTATAAATGATGTAATAGCTAAGCATGTTATTGTCACTGAGCAACTTTAATTGTTGGTAAAGAAAGAATTTTGGTTTTGGAATGACAGTGGACCCAGGAAAGAGACCGTAAAAGAATTACCGATAAAAGCAAAAGAGACAAACTGCTTAAAATCAAATAAACATGAGCAAAACCAAGCAAGTATACTTCTTGTCAAACCAATTTAATATTGCAATCAGTTTAGCATAATTGAGGCCATCAAAAGCAGCAGAAATGTCCAGCAATGCAAAACTTTATAACTCCCTAAAGATGCTCAGTCATTCACATTGAAAGGTAAATCATTCACAGTTTTAAGCATCACTGTCTCTGTTGCAATTTGGTCCAAAGCCTGACAGTTAACACTGACAGATTGTTTGTGATAAGGTGATGATATACTGGTAGTTACTTGACAACAGTCTTTTCAAGCACTTTCACAAGAAAGGGTAAATTAGACACTGAAAAATATTTTAGATTCCAAAGCTGCTTTTCTTTCTTGCTTTCTTTTTTAAGAATGGGGTTTCCAGTAGGATTGGAATTACCCCAGACCACAGAGACAAATTAATAGTTTGTGTAATAAATAGAAGGTCGTTTATGGTCACTCTCCTGAAGAAATTCAGTTGGCCAGGTACCAAAAGAAGTCTTACTTTTCTGAACTAGCATCTTGACTTCCCTTTTTTGAGATAGCTTTAAAATCTAACAATTCTGATAATATATTAAACTGTTTAATGTGTAATTTAATTCCTTCACCAGAGACCAGGGTAAGGGCTGGGGATACAAGTGAGTTAGAAAATAATGAACCTTAATGGTCTTAGGATCTCCTTTTTAAAAAGGGCAATTTCATCTTTCCATCTATCAGGAGAAATAATTGAATATGTCCTTTTGCTGCAGTTGGGAAAAAGAAACTGATTAAATGTTTTAAACGGGCTTCTGGGATTTTCCTTCTGCGTCTGCAATGCCAGCTGAATAGTTAGTACCTCTGTCACTTCTGTTACCTACCTCCATTCACTAGGATGTTGTTTTCAACTAAACTGAAGGTGCAGCTGCCGTATTATTTTAGTTGATCATTTGCAGTGCACTATCCACCTCAGTGAGTTACTGGCCAATGGAGCAGATGTGGTCATAAGAGACAGAACTGGGAGTTAAATTAACCTGGAGAGCATAGAGTGGTTGGATGGTCTTGTGGCTTGGGCAAGGGATGAGATTCAGTGCGGTGCCTCTAACAACCCAGGGGGAAGGGTGTAAAGGGGGCTTCAAGGCTTTGCACTCTCCTGATAAGGGGCTGCAGAGGCCTCTAGCGTAACTTAGCCCTCAGGGCCCAAGTTACAGCAGCCTCCCAGGGCTGCCCTGTGGGCTCTAGCATTTCTGGGAATCTCCATAGCACTACTTGCTACGGTCCCCACACTGAACTGCCCCCCCCCCGGCCCCCAGCTGCCCTCCCACCCTGAATGCTCCCCTATATCATGGCTTGTAAGAAGGTTCGTCAAGTGCCTACACTGGGGAATCCTCTGGCAGAGCTCTTTTTACCCAACTCAGGCATATAAAAATAAAATGTCTTTTCCATTTTCAAAAACAGTCTTGGGTAAAAATTCTTACTGAAAAATATTTGAGTTCTGTTTTTTTTATTAAAAAAAAACACAAACATTTGACAAGAAATGAAAAATTTTTAGGCAAAACATTTTGGTGAACAATATTTTGTTTACCAAAACAAAAAGATGTTTCAGTGAAAATATTCCAGCCATTTCTCCTTGGGACCCCATATTTTCATTGTCTTTAGTAACATATTCTTCATTCTAAAAATCCTGAAAAGAAGTTAACATAGCTTCCTTCTTTATGCCCTGGACACAGGGTTAGGTGTGCTTTGTCTGTAAACTGACATAGAGCATCTGGGGCCTGATCCTGCAGTACTTGAGCAGACAGTTAAAGAAATGGGGGGGGGGGTTTTGCTTGTTTAAAGGGCCACCATGCCTGAAGTATTTAGACATGTCTACTGAAGTCTATGAGACTTTATAGTGAACAAGGAATGCATGATTCGACCTAATGGCTGTGGAATCAGGTCCACAATGTATACCTGTTGTTTGCTCAATGCAAGGGAAGACCGACTGATGAAAACAAGGAGGGGAGTAGAAGAATTGTTTATTCTGTGCTGTGCTTTTGAGAAACCAAGGCGATTTGGGGTGAAATCCTGGCTCCATTGAAGTAAAGGGGAGTTTTGCCATGGGGGAAATAGCTCAGAGGTTTGAGCATTGGCCTACCAAACCCAGGATTGTGAGTTCAATCCTTGAGGGGGCTATTTAGGGAACTGGGATAAAAATCTGTCTGGGGATTGGTCCTGTTTTGAGCAGGGGGTTAGACTAGATGACCTCCTGAGGTCCCTTCCAACCCTATGATTCTATGACTTAATAGCAGCCACTTGTTCATCTTTTAATTTTCTGAGATTTCTCATACAGCAAGATATGTCACTACCAGCAGCAAAGCAAAAAGCAGAAGCAGAGGAGGGGCAGGAGGAACAGAGGAAAACCACACAGTTCACATTGCAGAATTTCATCTGAATACTTCAGACTACAGGAGAGGGTGGAAAATCAGAGGGAAGAGGGATTTGGTCTCCAATCCCCATGGATCCCTCTGAGACTGGCACAGCTTTTAATCTGTTCCCTTTATTTGTTTATTTATTTATTTAAAACAGCTTCTCACTAATGCCAACAGCTTCAGGGAAAGATGACACCAACGATAATATTACCATATTCACCAGGATCTTGGATGGCCTACTGGATGGCTATGATAATAGATTGCGCCCAGGACTGGGAGGTACAGTAGAATTTCTATTGCTATTGCCTCAGTTAATGTCACTCTTGTGTAATTACTACAGTGAAGCCTACGTAAAATGAATATATGGCAGTGGAACAAACCTGTTAAATGTACATGCTCTGTCTACCTAACCAAATGGATATAGAACAAAGCCTTTGTAAACAAATGGCTGATTGTGATGGGGAATAAGATACCATCCAGAAGTTGGTGAGAGGACTCTCCTTCTTGCTAGAAGGACCCTTGCTGCTTGACTTGACTGTAGGGATTCATAGCATCGCAGACTGAGCCAACTGTGGGCAATTAATTAATCCCTACTTAACAGACAATATAAGAGGGATGTGCTGTCAGCCGAAGAGGGATGGATGGATGGGTCAGTCAATTTCTAGAAGACTACATTTGGGAGGAGAAACAGGGGGTCCTTTTCCTCTGGAACATGGCTGAAATGAGCTATTGGGACTTCATACCTTTGCATTGGCCTTAGCTGAAGCAAGCCACAAAGACTGTGCTTTTAACTGTGCTTTGAATGAGGGCAGCCTTACTCAGTTATTTGCATTTGGCTCTTAAAACGGTATGGTATACTTTACGTGTATTGTTATACATTACAATAAAGCAAACCACAGAGGTGTTTCACCTTAATATAGATGAGCAGAATCCAATGCTGCTTGGAGTGGTCTGCCACACTGATAACATTTCCAGTGTGGTAAAATGGTTATTTGTCTCTGGTAGACCTCATTGAAAAAAATATGTCAAGTGAATATATACTATGTGTACTGTACAAAATTATCTCTATCAAACAGCACAGCCTCCTTACACAATAGATTAATACAAATTTAAAATAACCCTGTTGAAAGAATTATATTTTGCAGCAATAAGGCACTTCATTGCAGATTGTATCGGTATTTAGTAATCTTCAGTCAGGGCCCAATCCTGACATAATGGGCCTGATCCTCACTCAGGCAACTCTCTCTTTCAAGTCAATGAGAGTCTTACCTGAATAAGGGCTGCATGGGCAGCTCCACTGTGAGACCATCACATTACTTCTCGTAAAATGTGAAAACCCCTGCATCAGTAACACTATGGATCTTATCTGATACCCTAGTCCCTGAAAAAAAAAAGGATTTAGTTAGCTGTGTGCGGCCTAAGACAATCCAGTCTCCCTGAAGAGAGGGCCCTCTCTAAAGCCCATTGAAGTCTTTCCAGTCACTCTTATTGGATTCAAATCGAGTTTGGATCAGGCTGGCCCGTGACACATATTCTTCTAATCACCATTAAGGGTTTCTGTAGTTGAATAGGTTTTTGTTTTTCCTTTTGATAATCCTTCCTTGCAATGTGATGCCTGACTTCACCTTTCTAAATATTTTAAGTTCCACAACTGGGAAATAACATGTACAAGTCGTGCAGAATAAATCAAACATATTTTATAGTGTGAGTAACAAAAATCTCTAGAAAAGGTAAAAATTAAAAAATACCCTTTTCTATGATCAGCTAGATGTGATGAAACTGTATTTGTACACCTGCTGTGTAGCACCTATATCTGCTATTTTAAAATGTGAGTATTTAAAATTACATCCATCATCCCTGCTACTCTGACCTTGTCCAGGCCCTCTATACATTTCTTCTCTGGCTTCTCCTCACCTTCTGCACAGGTTTAATCTCCCTGTTCTACTTTCCAAGACCTTTTACAGCCTGGCTTCCACTCACTTCTCTGCTCTTTTATCCTTTTGCTCCCCCCTCACACTGATCAAGGTGTTCTACTAGCTGTTTTCTCTTTCTCTCTCAGGCATTCATCCACACAGCTCCTATTCCTGGAACCCCTTCTCTTGGACTTGGCCCACCATCTGTCCAAGTCCCTTCTTAAAAAGCAATATTTCCAAAATGTCTTTGAACCATAATCCTCTCTGCAGAGAAGTATTAATAATCCCATGGCTGAACGTCATAACCACAAAACAAGTTAAAAAAGATAAATCCAAATGAAACTCATGGAACTAACAGACCGCATTGTGTATTTCACCATTCTTACACACTGCTTAATGTTTCAACTGTCTCTTCCCTTGTTTGTGCAGTGGATTGTCGATATAGATTTTACACTCATTAGGATAAGCATTTAGGGCCTGATTCACTATTGCCCTGTTTCTGGTTTAGTTACTTACATCAGTGTGATGTAAGTATGCTGTGTATGTACAATGCTACCGTTCTGATTTTGCATTGGTGTAATTGATTTCCAAAGGGGTATAGCAATGCCTTTCAGGAATCGGGCCTTTCATACATGTCTGTAGGGCAGAGTTACATTCAATTAATATTTATTAATGTTCATGTATTTTGTATTTTAGAAGACTTTCTAAGCCTACTCTCACCACTATGACACCAATGAAAAAAAAATCGGACTTGGGCTCCTAGCTCACTTAAAATCTTCTGAAAATCCCATGCTTAAAAAACCATTAAGGCTGGGATTGTCAAAGGAGCCAAAGAGTTAGACACCCAAATCCCACTGAATTTCAATATTTTTGGTATTTTAGAAAATCCTGGCCTAAGATAGCAAATGTGGTTATTACTAGAAAAAGAAATACATCCAGAGTGTATATTTGTTTGTTATAGCAATTACTGATTCAGGGTCTGTGTCTCTTTGTTATAGAGAGAATAACTCAGGTGAAAACAGACATCTATGTTACCAGTTTTGGTCCAGTGTCAGACACAGAAATGGTAGGTTATAGCATATGAATCCTAAATCAGTATTATTTCTGTTGTTAAAATAACTGTAAAAATGATTATTTCTTTTGAGACACATTATTAACGACTGGTTCTTTATGTCAGGAATACACGATTGATGTTTTTTTCCGACAAAGCTGGAAAGATGAAAGACTTCGATTCAAAGGACCGATGCAACGCCTCCCTCTTAACAATCTGCTTGCCAGCAAGATCTGGACCCCAGACACTTTCTTCCATAATGGTAAAAAATCTATAGCTCACAACATGACAACACCGAACAAACTTCTACGCCTTGAAGATGATGGCACTCTACTCTATACCATGAGGTAAAGACTTTTCTGATTTCTTTTTATTCTGACTCCCTAGTAGGTTTACAATTACTTATTTGGAATGTCAGATTTTTCTCACAATAGAATAAAGTAGACTTTTTGCACATTTTTATGAGAATATCAAGAGAAAATGGAAAGCATAATCGCTGCCTACAACTACTAATTAATTTGCAGCTTCTGAACAATGCTAATGCTGAAATATTTTCTTTGGTGAAATGGAATGCATATTCTCTGTGGAGTAGATGATTCAGTCCTACTGTTTTATGTAGGTCTGTACTCTCCTATTATTTTTGATTTCAACTGCTCTGCTGATGTGATGTGAGAGAGCTGTCTTTACGACCAGAAAGATAAATCTGTCTCTGGTATAGTACATCTTGAACTTTTAAAGCTTCTGTTTGTTTCTAGTTCTAATTTAGCTAAAGGACAAGCCATCACTGGAATAAAGCCTTGCAGGCAGCAGATAGGGCATTACAAAGCTATTTAACAAGTGCACTTTTAAGACAAAGCTGGTACATTTTTTAGTCTTTGAGAATCAGATCTGTGTCTGAACTTTTCAGGGCCCTGCTTCTTATCTGATCTGATGATATTATGAAGCCTCATCAATTCTTAACCTAGATATTATATCAGTGATGTTAAAGCATGACCTGCTTTTTTTCAAATTCTCCTAGAACAACTCCTACATTATTGGAGCCTGCTTTGTTCATTATAAATAATTCATCTGCAGTAATTAAGACTGCTTTGTATCTGTTATAGGACTTTCATTGAGAGTGTAGTCATATGGACAGCACTTAAAAAGAGATTTAAAAAAATAGAGAAGAAAGTGTTTATCCTAAGCTTATCACATATGAATATCTGCCAAATCTAAGCAACGCCTAAATCCCTGCTTCATAACTCTTCTTTGAAAAGAACGGAAAGATCTAGAAATGACTAGGAATTTAAAAAGAAAAAGAAAAAAGACTTTGTACTGAAATAAAGGTATTTTAAACAAAACAGCACAACTAAATAACCAATCCCATAGAGACACTGTGGTTCGGTAACTCCCCTGACTTTCTCTATTCCTCATTGCTGTTCTTTTTGACATGGATTGTCATTGTAGTGATCTCAATGGGATGTCCTGAAACAAACTGGGGGACATTAAAAACAACAAACAGTGTGTGTATGTGTGTTTACAATAGTTGCAAAAGAAATCCAAGTTTCCAAACTGTATTAAAGGGGCAGGCCGTAATTCTGGTTTCACTGACACTGAGATTACCCTGGTGGAACTCCACTGACTGCCGTGCACTTGCTCCTAATAGACACTGGTGTATATAAAGTCAGAGTCAAGCTTACGGTCTACATGGAGCCAAGCTAGGTACCTTCTGTTGCGTGGCAGAAAATCACAAGTTTACAGCTAGCATGTGGTACTTGAGAGAGCATTTGTTTTACAACATTTAGGACATTGAGTTAACTCTTTCTGACTGCTTCAGTTCAGACAGCAAGTTAAGGCTACCTGGATTGCCAGTCACATGGTTTTCTTCCAGGCTACAGAAAAGCCCACAAAGTCCATGTAGCTCAACAATGTAAAATAATTTCTGATGTTATGGGGAAAGAGGGAAGGAAGGAGCAGAAATAATTTTACCATATATATCATAATAGGGAATGGAATCCATCTCTTTTTAAACAGCCTACTTTCAACTTGATGATAATTTTAAAATTTCAAATAAAACAGTCGTGTCATCCTATTGTATGTGGCATCCTACTGAATTCTAGGCCAGGAGAGTGTCTGTGTAATACATAATCAGATCAAGATGTCTCTAAGGCACTGTGCTACATTAAGAGTGTCAACTCTTTCATAATTGGGCATTTCTGAGGTAGATTTCAATGGTAGAAATAATATGTAGTAGCTAATCCCTAAAGAAATGACTAATAGCTATAAAATGTCAAATTTCAAAAGTGTGATAAGGAGAAAGCACAATGTGTGTCAGTGGGTAAAGTTACACCCAACCCAGAGCTCTTAACTCATTGTGGGCATTGGCAGAGAATTCTCCATAGAGAAATTTCCATTTTTAAACAACAAAGGGTCTGAACTTCTCATGGGAAATTTGCCCGGAACTTATTGCAAAATGCTAAAGATGCACCTGTTTCCATGATCTCATGGAAAGGGCCACCTGCTTCAATACAGGAGGGGAAAAACCCCCACTGATGACACAGTCCTAGCTGTCACTTACTACCCCACACTGGAACCCATATGAGGTATCATCAAACCATTAAAACCCACATTCGATGGGGATCACACGCTGAAAGAAATCTTTCCTGAACCCCCTCTTCTGGCCTTCAAACAAACCCTCCAATGTCACCAAGCTCATTATCAAAAGTGAGCTTCCTACAGACCAAGACACACCGACTCAAAGTGGCACCAGACCCTGCCAGAACAACAGATGCAGAACCTGCAGACATATCTCCACTGCTACAATGATCAATACTCCCACAACACACCTTTCAAGATTCATGGGTCATACACATGCCTATCACAACATATGGTGTACCTCATCTAGTGCACTAAATACCCCAATAACAACTATGTTGGCGAAACAAGACAATCACTTCACTCTCGAATGAACTCACACAGAAAAATGATAAATGGCAAAAAAACCCTATCAAATGTGGGTGAACACTTTTCACAAAGTGATCACTCTATATCTGACCTCTCAGTCCTCATCCTCAAAGGACACCTGCAGAACAACTACAAAAGGTGACCCTGGGCACTTAAATTCATAACTTTGCTAGACACCAAAAACTATGGACTCAACAGGGACACTGATTTTATGGTTCATTATAACAGTTTGTAACACACCACACTGCCTGCTACTCCTAATTATCTACTTCAACCACCTTATGCATACCAATCTAATTGTCAATTGCCCACTTCCTTTAAAGTGACTGCCTACCACATGTGTTATCCCATGGCATATGCTTAACAACCTGTCACTAGCTCAGACACTCTGATTTTCTTCCCCAGACCTGAAGAAGAGCTCTCTGTAGCTCAAAAGCTTGGACCTTGCACTAACAGAAGTTGGTCCAATAAAAAATATTACCTCATCTACCTTGTCTCTATGGCTAGGTCTACACAGCAACTAGACACTTGTGGCTGGTCTGTGCCAGCTGACTTGGGCTTGTGGGGTTCAGGCTGCGGAATTGTTTCATTGCTATGTAGACTTCGGGACTTGAGCTGGAGCCTGGGCTCTGGGACCCTCCCACATAACAGGGTCCCAGAGCTGGGCTCCAACCTGAGCCAAGACATTTATACAGCAATGGAAGGAGCTCTGCAGCCCAAGCCCCAAAAGCCAGAGTCAGCTGGCGCGGGCCAGCCGCAGGTTTTTCTTTGCTGTGTAGACATAGCTACAGTCAGTTAAAACAAACTGAGGACAAATTGCACCTCAGTGTAACTCCACCACCATTACATCAGGGCTAGATTTAGCCCATAAAGTTCAGAATCAAAGTGTAACCTGGGAAGCTTCTTACTGGCATAACCACATGAAAGACCTGGAGTCCATTCTAAAGGGATCAGCAAAAAGAAACCTGAAGCCAGATGCACCCCTCTGCTTCTATAGTCGGGGAAGCATGAATCTGTGGATCTAGGCTAAGGAGTGAGTTCTTGCTCTGTGGCTTCTCTTCAGGGTCCTGGGTCTGGGAATCCAGAAAGAAGGGAGGGATGCAGGGTTGAAGTGATGGCTACATCCCCACCAAAAACCTCAGGTGGGAAAATAAAATAGAGTCAGGGTAGTGGAGGGGAAGGACACAGCTCCTTTCTCACTGCTAAAAGCAGAAGGAAGCTTCCCCTCCCTACCCTGGCTTTGCTAAGCATCAGTTCCTTGCCTCCAGCTGGCCTGGTGAGGACTCCCCTTCCTGTTTTATAGTCTGCTGTAACCACTGCAGAACCTTTTGTGAATACCAGCATAAGATAAATGGTGCATCAGCGTTAACTAGCATAGGTCTCCTCCTAGACACCGTAAATCCCTCTCCCCACCACTCTCATGGTCTAGGGGTGTCACAGTGGCCAATCAGGGGCCTATCAGCAGTGTGGAGGCACAGGGCCTCAGCATGAGGATATGCCTTGCTTCTTGTGGCCTCCACCAGATGTTCTTGGTGGTCTGTGAATTTTTGGGACAACCCCCTGCCAACGTGGGGGGCTTTTCCCATCCATCTCTGAGGAAGAATTGGGAGGAAATGTATGGAGTTTCCCAGCCTGCATGCAGCAATAATCTGTATATGGGGAGAATCGGGACCTGTGCCATGGCTGGAGATATCTGAATTACTTTCATAGCCTTCTGCTTGGGCTGTCTGAATCATTACCCAGGAGGAGGAGGAGGAAGAGAGCAGTGTGAGCAGTGCCCTGCAATCTCTTTTGAATTCCAAAGGTATAGTATTTAATCAGGTTAGCAAGAGACTATGGAAAAGTCTTATTGGCTAGGATTTTCACAGAATAGTTATTTGAAAGATGGAACAAAGCAAGTGATAAAGACCTATGTGTTGAGAAAAAGAGACCCACACATGTTATGGACTAGCTTGTAAAAAAAAACCCTAATCAGAACACAACAAGGAATATAATAAATGTGAGCGAAACAGGTAAACCCTGAAAGTGTGAGAACTTTAGAATGTGAATCAAAATACGAGGCGAAAAAACTCTACTAGATTATAACCTGAAGTTGTGCCATTGTACAAACAGATATGATGCTTTATTTTAATAGCCTATACACAGTAATAGGATCACATGCAAAATAGTACTCACCCAGTCACTTCTGTTTAAATGAAAAGCAGTTTTATGATAATTTTGGTTTCAAACTTTCTGCTTTAGAATATTTGAAGAAATATATTTTCATTATGATGAAAATACATAGTTTGAATTTTGCATTTTATATTGAATTTTATATTGTCTAGGACAGAAATAAAGGAACTATTTTAAGTCTTTTTGCCAGTGAAGTATTAAAAAGATGCTTCTATGCATGCATGTTATCAAA